GTATTTTCGTATTAAATAATATAATTTATTCTTCATGAGAAACATTATTTTATTATTTTGTCAACCATATGCTTGGATTTAGTTTGAACTTTTTCTGCTAAGAGATAAGACGCAAATGTGTGCAGAATCAATGTCATGAATTACATTAATGTGGCTCGTGGTGATCTTAGGGTATTATCATTAAAAAAAAGTCACACTGCTCAGTCTTGACCACAACATTTTTTGACATTCAAAATTGCTACTTCTCCTCTACTGTTTTCCTAACTCTTCAGACAGCTTGGTCTTATTTTCTCTGAGTCTAGCTAGGAATAGATATTTATGCAAATAATTTTTAAAGGTGAAAAATAATGTGTGTTGCTGAGATAAAAGTGGTTATTGATTAATTCTTTGCTATAATCATCTTTATCTAGTGCTGTCAGCTGTTTTCATATCAACTTAGAATCCTACATGGTGTCAGGGAAACTTAAGTGAACACAAGCTTGTACACACACAGGAAAAATTATTCTTAGACTTCAGATGACACTGCCGTAAGAAGGACACATTAGGTAGACATTTCAAATGTCGAATTCTTATAATTTCCAAAATCTCCAGGTATTTCAACAGTATTTAAGATAGCCTACACTGGCCTTAGAAAATATTAATGTGTGGTGTTATAGTCATGGTTATTGATAAAGGATTCACAACACATACAGCAATTCTAGAAAACAAATGTTGCTTATCAATCATTAATAGCAAAAGTTAACATAATCAAGAAGCAACTCGTATGTAGGAAATTCCTGCAATTGCAGTTGGAAGGGAACAAAAAGGATATGTCCAATCTGTTATTGATACAAGAGCTCTCCATCTGGAACCAAAAAAAAAAAAAATGGAAAAGGAACCTCAGAGTTTTTGAAGTATATATACATTGTGGAATAACTAAACCTGGCTAATTTATTTTTCTATGCAATTTTTCTCCAAAAATAAAATCAATCTAAAATATGTTAGATGAGAAGCAAATCTCAGACTATGATTTGTAAATAAGGTAAAGTAGCATAGAATAACTTAAATACACTTGAAAATATATGGCAAACAATGGGAAATAATTTTAGGGACTTTTTTTCACTTCCTAAATGTAGTATTTCGTTGTTGTTGTTGTTGTTTTAAGGCAGATGTTTAACTCTTACCAATTACCTGGGAACACGGTTCGGGGAGCACTCCTTCTCCAGTCCTAGGGATCAGTGCTTGACTGTGATGATGTGTGGTTATTTTCAGAGCTGGAGGCCGAGGAGTGGTGCAAGCACCTCTGCGTGGAGTGTCTGGGGACCCGGCTCAACGACATCAGCCTTGGGGAGCCAGACCTTCTGGCAGCAGGAGTGCAGCGGGAACAGAACGGTAAGCGCGAGCTTGCTTTCCGTCACTTTAAAGCACACTAATAGTTGTAGAACTTTGAAACTGGAAAGGATCTCAGGAATATTTCAGATGAATCGTTTTTTAAAAAGAAAATAAACTGATCAATCCAGGTTATTCAGGAACTTTCTTGAGATGGTGTGGCAGCTACCGAAAATGCCTAGGTACGACCGAGGGCTCCTGGCTTCTTGCCTGTGACATTGCCATTTATCAAATAAATAATTAGTAAGTTAACTCATTGAATATAAGGCTTTTGAATGTATGATATCATTCCATTTTCTTCTTTGAGAGTTGTTATAGATTTAAAGTTCATATGAACAAATTTGGCTTATCAGGTTATCAATAGCTTTTAGGGCATTTGGCTAATACTACAAGGAGGAAATTATAGTGGATAAAATCTCAGAGTTTCACAAAATTGAGGTTTATATAAATAATATTATTTACTTACTACATTGTTCTCAAATTTAAAAGGCATTTTTCATGTCTCTTAATTTATGCTGCATGTTCTTGACAGCGCCTCTAAATATGAAATAATAATGTATTTATTATACAGTGTGTCCATATTAGTTGATTGTGAGCTCATTTCGCTCTGTTTTGTAAAATAATTATCATCACCGCCAGATGACCTAATAATGTGAAAACAAACTTTTCAGTGTTCCTAATTTTTGATGATCTGTGTTTGGAAAGGCTGAGGGATATTGGTGAAACTTGACGCTACTGATTAGAAAGAAATTCTGGAATTATCTTAGATGATAAATTAGATAGCGCAGGTAAAAGTACACCGTGATAGCATGTGATGATTATAACCTTGTTATTCCTAATAACAGTGTTGTTAACAATCATTGCTATCTTCATAACTCCTTAAAGCACTAGTTTCAGTTTGTTGCTAAAATGAAAAAGCAAGTTTTTTCCAGCTTATTGATCATGAACATATGTAGGTAACAAACATTGCTTCCATTTGACTTTTTATAAAGTCACAAAGCGTTTCTGTAGCTCTTTTTCCAGCTTCCGTTTTATATTCCAGTTCCTCTCCCTCATGCTCTCAGATTTCCATCTCTGTTTTCTGAGAGCAGTGCTAAGCACAGAGCATGGATGATCATGCCACTTAAAGTATACGCTGTTCATCCATAGTTTAGGAAGAGAAGGAAAAAACTCTTACTAATAAGGATGTGTCGAGTACTACATAAAAGAAATATGAAAAAAGTAAATAAAGTAAGCTTGTGGGTAGAAATATCATGTCTTTTTTTGGTATGGACTATATGCTTTTTACTTGGAGGATTTGGAGTTATACAAACAGAT